AAAAAAAATCTTTTTATTTCTCATCATCAACATCATGACCAAGAGCCAAGTCTGCCTCGGTTTTCAATGATTCAAACATTATGTTTACACCGAGTTTGAGTTCATGTAGAATGCCTAGCATGGGGGCTGCTGGACTTTTCTCGTACAGACTTGGCCTCCTTTTTCTCTTGGATCCACTGCTCCATGAACTAATCCAACGATCTCGCACAAAATCATCATCCACTCTCACTATCAATTCTTCAATGCAATTAAGAATAACAGCCAGCTTTTTCGTAATGTGGATGGATAATGGTAGAAGTGTGTCATCTGCAGCATCTTCCTCATTCCTCTTTCTCACAGCAGCATAATTCCTCTCCAAAAACTGCACATCACTGATGACACTCCAGATATTTTCCGGTGGAACATCACCAAAATGCTTCTCCACGATATCCTCAAAGTCGGGACAGTACGGTGGAGTACTATTCAAATAGCGTATGTCTTCTGGTGAGAGATTCTCCATGATTACAACTAAAGTTCTCTTTAAAAATTCGCGATTTATATCACCTCATCCCCTCCACCAGTCTATCCAAATTTCGTTACAACTGAAATTTTGCTCTCGGAAAGCACTATTGATTCCTAGAAAAGCACCCACATTCGTAACGATCACATTTTTCGGAGCAATTCATTATACCTACATTCCAATAAATCATTATTCACGCAACTTGGAATTTCTTCGATCTCCACCATCCCAGCTGATGAGGTGAATGACTCTTGCACTTGTCTACATGAACTTTTCCATCTCTATGTCATGCTCCCAGCGAGGTCACTACCAATGTTTATGTGACGCGTACGTGCTCATCGGTAAACACACACACAAACACATAGAGTCGCAGGCAATTTTATTGAAAAATTAAATTGATTCGTGTGTGTTTTATTATCATTAATTGTTATCCAATTAGATAAAGTAATTGATGCTCCATTTCAATGGGAAACATTCAGTTCAAAAGTGCACAATTAATTTCTGTTTTGTCCAATGTCATGAGCATTCAATGTAAAAACCCCCCGAAAAAAAAAAAGATCATTGCAAATTATTAAACTTGTGTTATGTTGCATGGTATCGTCTTTTAAAGACTATGGTGGAATATTCATTCCACTTCGAAAACGATTCACTGCGCATCCAAGAGGCCGAGTGTTTTGTTTATACGGCGCGTACGTGCTCACCGGCAAACAAACGCGGCCACGTGAGCGGTGGACCAGTTCGCGCTTCAATCTCAATGAGAGAGATAGAGAGAGAGAGAGAGAGAGAGAGAAGTATCGAGTTTAAAATCATTCCTCAGATTTGATAAGAAAAAAATTCATCTTTCTCATTATTAGTTTCTACTACTGATGATGATTTTGAAGACGAAATTTCAAAATCATGAATTAATTTATTGTAATTATGATTATTAAGGTGGAATCGAAGAAAAAAAATGCTCCGCCAACAGAACATTTGAAAATTGTAACAACTACCATTGTCAGCTATGAAATATTAGATAATAGAAATCAGAAATGAGATATTAGATTGTAGACATCACATACAAGGTATTAGATATCATATGGTGGATATTCAACGTCAGATATCACATGGCGGGTATCCTCCTCCCCCCCATTCTGGCCCAAAATGGCGCCCCGAACATTACCACCGCGGGGCCGATAAAGAAGATTCCCCCCGTTACCGACCGAGGGCCTAGCCGATTCCAGCATTACCCTCCCCCGCAACCTCACCTCGCCCCCCGCCCCGCACCCCCCCTCAGATCCCGATGTCCAGAACCGGTATAGTCTATCTACTCCCTCCCTCTTAGTATTTCAGGTACCCCCGTAACTTATAAGGAATTCTCCCCAATTTTCCGAATTATCATATATTTCCGAATAGACTGCCTTAGTTGGGAATTATTTCATATTCATTCCCCGGCCAAGGTCACAGTATCCATAACCAGCAGTTCGCATCTCCTTGACTGATTGAAGTTTATTGATGAAGAACTTTATTCCGTTAAAAAATTTCCAGAACTTGTTTCCTTATCCTATGAGAGTATGATTGACTAGACGGGTTTTGTGGCAACAATGTGGTAAATAACCATTTAATTTTTCGAATTGAAACACGAAACTAACGATGTATGGCGAGTAGCATTGAAACGTATCCACCGCATGTTTTCAAGAGCTAGAAGTAATCATTTTGATTAGATCCAATCATCATTCTCACGTTTGAATTTGAAAACATTTGAATTTTGGCAAATGACCAGAACTACACCCTCACTCAAAAAGTATTAAGTGGCATGACTGGGTCAAATATTTTTCCTTTGTGGATTTCATACTAGCTGTGCTCTCATCGCGACCTCACACAAAAAAACTAGGTAGGCCTTCGAATTCGATAAGGTTCATATATACTGTATCGGTAAACTACAGGTAACTCGGCGCAGGGTGATAAACCCAAATTCATCATTCAATAACGTTCATAATCATTTCAATTATAAGAGCCCTAGTACGAGAATAGTGAAAACAATAGTGGTGATATGCCCCAGAAATACAACTAATTAAGAAATAGTATTAGGTAATTTCTCATTGATCTAAATAATAAGAGGACACGCGAAGTGGCACATATTATCCAAAACATGTAATGTCGAATCAGACAATGTTGAAATATAAACTAAACCGAATATTTGCAGAATAGGTCCACGTATATTCGTCATAATGTGGATCACTGGGGTGCAGAGTCAGCACTTCGCCCCATCAACAGCTATGGCCTTTACGTACACCTGGGACGTCACCTGATGTCTCTCCAGGTGTAAAACAAAGACAGAACACTTGTTGCAATCGAATCCGCAATGAAATATAAGCCCGTGAATTCCTTCCCAGTGGGTCAGTTAGTCAGGTTGTCAGACACGTTAAGTCACTTTCTTTTAATTCATATTGCCTGATATCTACGGCATTAGTCAAGGACTTTATTGATTTAATAAATCGTTTAATCACTAAAAAAGTTGAATCTCCCTGAAAGATATTCATTTCTAATTATCTACGAGTAATCTATCCCCATCTTCAAACCCAACCGCTCTGGTCTATAACATTTTGGTGGCAGCGCAATTTTGGGAAGACGTAGGTCTAATCACCCACTGTCTATTACTGCGAGATAAGAACGAGATATTATCCGGAGCATTGGACTACCTGAATCTACACTGACTGTCATCGCAACCACTTTTTATCCTCGAGGGAGTGAGAAGATTACTCTAGGGTAAACCAGCCGAAGATTATTTTTGAGGATTTTTCACAAACCTACCCTAGTACGTCACCCGTTCCGTCACAGTGTAGTTACGTTCGGCGGGGGTTAGGACTCTACTAGCAAAATAAATGGGTCTGTCCAGTCAGGTCGACGAGTTTGGGTGGGCAGGATCGGATCCAAATTCTGATTCCTGTGTCAACACCGCTCCTATCGCCATGTCACTTGCGTCCGACTGAAGGGTGAAGGGTTTGGAAAAATCGGGGCGGGGGTAGTCGTGAGGGAAATTTTTAATTTATCGAATGCGGTCTGGTGTTCGTTCGTCCAGGTCCACGTTCCATTTTTTCGTATCAATCCGAGCAAGGGGATTTTGTCATGGGAAAGGGAAGGCAAAAATCGGGAATACCACCCAACCATACCGCGAAATCTCTGCAACTCCTTTACATTCCGAGGGGGTGGGTAATCAGTGATAGGGGCAACTTTATTTGGATCTGCTTCTAATCCATCGGGGGTCAACAAATATCCAAGAAATTCTAATCGGTCGCATAAGAAGTCACATTTGTCTACGTTGATTAATAAAGAAAATAACCTGACAGGTTATTTTCTTGTAATTTTTTAATTAACTGGGCCACAAACCATTTATGTTCTTCGAGAGTGCGGGTAAAAATCAAAAAATCGTCAGCGTATTTCCGTACGTTGTTCGACCATTGGGTGGGAATAATCATGTCCGTCCGTAATTGAAACATCGCGGGGCCGTGCTTCAGTCCAAAGGGCATCCGTTTATGGTGAAATAGTCAGGGGGGTAGTCCAGGGATGGCGAAAGCAGTCTTTTCTTTGCTGTCATCGTCAAAGGGAATGTGGTGGAACGCCTGACTTACATCAATTTTGGAGACGTACACCGCGCCGTGCGCACAATCAAGTAAATCTTCGAGGCTTTGCATGGGGAGGGCGAGGTGCTTGGTCACGGCGTTAAGGGGGCGGTAGGCTATGCACAAGCGGTAACTGTTATCGGGTTTCTTTACCAATACCGGCCTACTACACCAATCGCTCTGGGAGGGTTCGATAATCTCTTGTTTTAACAATTGGGAGGCTTTTTCTTGGGCGGCTTTTAAAATGTGGGGGGCATATCTACGGGTAGCGCCGCGGATAGGGGGATGATCTTGGGTGTCTATATGCTTCGTTAACAGGGGGCAAACGGAGGCAATTTCAGGGGCGGGACTTATCCAACTCTTGAATTCTTCACGGAGGGTTTTCAACTGATCTTCGGGGACAACGGCTAATTGGGCTATGTCACAGGGGGGAGGATTGGATAAGTTAAGGGGTTGTCGTGGGGGGCCTTCACCATCTGACGTATACCATACACTAATGGGTTGCGCTTTGAGTTCGATGGGGTGGCTTTCGGGGGTCTCAGATTCTCCGCAATCAAGGGCAAAATCTAGGGCGCTGAGGGCGTCCATTCCTAGAATACAATCGAATGCGAGGGCGTTTGATAATCTAAAGAGGCTGAGTTGAACTCGTTCTAAATAGGCTAGTCTCATGATAGCACATCCGGCTCGTGGGACTGCTTCGCCGTTTCCGAGGACAACTTCTTCTCCGGTTGCGATGGCGTATTTGTCAAGGTCCACGCCAGTGTGGGTACTGATAAAGGATCGATTTGCCCCTGAGTCGATCAGGGTGCGGAGCGAACGTTTTCCCAATTTTATATTTACAAATCTTCGGTTTGCCATGGGCTGATCAAAGGTGAGGGTGAGGAAATCTTCGTAATCAATGTAATCGGGGTTGGTTGGATCATTGAGGGTAATAGTGAACAGTTTGGGGTTATCGTCAGGGATGGGGTCAGTCCCGGGGGAAGAAGGGACAGGGGTTTCAGGGATAGTTGGGGGTAGTTCGGTAGGGCTGGGGTCTGTTGAGAGGGTTTCTGGAATGGGTTGATTATCCTGGAGGGCACTGGGTGTGGGGGTTGGGGTCCTAAGTCGGTGTGAGGTCGGTAGTGATACAGGGGGACGTGGATTCACAGCGGGGGCAGGCTCCGGGGTTGATGGTACGGTTATCGTGGATGGTTCGGGGGGTGTACGGGAGATGGGTTCAGGACAGGGTGGGTTTTGTGGTTCGGGAGTGGGTCGTACGGGAGTTCTCTTGGGGACGGGTTGGGTACGATAATAAGGACGTAATATTAATCGGCGATCCCGCGGGGGTGGTGTGGGTTTAACACCCCCGCTCCTTAGTTTCCCGGGTCTTGGTAAGTTCCATAGAATGGTGGGGGGTAGGACTGGGTAGGACGAGCATTGGGGTAATATCGGGGAGGTTGGTTTTGTTGTGGTGGGTTGAAGGGTGGTTGTGAGGAAAATGCTTGTTGGGCGAATGGGTTAAGGGGGCATTCTCTGGCAAAGTGGCCAGGTTGGAGACAACAGAAACAGTTGAGGTAGTCGGGGTATGGGGGTGGTTTTGAATTTACGGGTGGTGGACTGGTGGGGATACTCATAAGGGGCGGAATGTTGTGTGGGGAGAGTGCATTGAGGCGGGGAGAGGTTCGTACTGTTACTTCTGCGTACGTCTGTTGTCTTGGGGGTGATTTCGATCTGACGTCATGGTTCATCTGTCTGGGGAATGCGTTACGTCGGGGTGGATATGTGTCATCTGGGGGAGGGGGGTAGGGATTCCTGGAGTACTGTTCTGGGGGGACATTATCTGCGCGAAAGGGTTGAGCGCCAATGGCATGGTTCTGGGGAGCGCTGGTATCGGGAGGGCTACGATTTCTGGGATTATTGCGACGGGGATTATTGCGATGTCTGTACCGAGACGTATCCGACAGGGTTCTCTGAACTAATCTAGCGACCTCAATAAACTGTTCCATCGTGGTACATCGATCGCGACCCATTTCTTTGAAATACACCGGATTCAATTGCGATTTTAGGATTCCCAATTGTCGTTGTAGGGGAGGAGGGGGATGAAGACTGGAGAATATTCTACGAAGACTAGTAATATAATCTCCGACATCTTCGTCGATCCCCTGAAAACGCTGGTGGATGCCCTGCCAAATACTCTCCTCTTGATCGAGGGGACAGTACATCAACTGAAACGCTCGCAAGAAATCATCATAACTTCTGATATTTGGCAGTTCTGTCAAATACCAGGAGTGGGCATAATTTTTAAATGCTGAGGGGAGAGCCCGAAGTGTCTCCGCCTCAGTTAACCCATTGGATTTGTAACATAAGGTGATACTATCCAAGAATTTATAGGGATCCTCCTCTCGAGTTCCTGCAAAACTGATTCCATCTCGTTTGAAAAGATTGCTGACCCTTAAATCTCGCGTTTGAAGGTCATGTTGGGCCTCTTCACGGAAGGGGGCTCGGTAGGTTTCATACAAACGGGGTTGGGGAAATCCGGTGGGGTAATCTGGGATGTTGGTAGTTTGTGTGGGGGGCTGTGGGGGTGGATTTACAGGGTAAAGGGTCTGGCAAAATCTTGGTTGGGGAACACGGGGGGTTGGCTCGGGTTGGGGCGGAAGGGTTTGAACGGGGTGGTATTGGGAGTGGGCAGGAATTTGGGTAGCAAGGAATCGGGGTTGTTCCACTTGGTAAGTGGAGTGGGCAGAGGGAAGGGGGGATTGATGGGGCTGATGTGCCAGGGGTGGTTGGCTGGGCATCGTTGTCACTGGTGCGGGGATAGGGGTAAGTGGTTTAGTGGAGGAATAATTCCCAGGGTGAACAGGTCTGGGTTGGGCAGGGGGTGGTGTGGGATCGTGGACCGTTGGGTGTGTTGTAGGGGGTGCAGGGACAGGGCTTGAGGTAATGGTGTCATGAGGGGGTGCGTGGAAGGTGACTCGAGGGATAGGGGGTTGTTGTTTTAGGGGGTAGGGTTCAGAGGGTTTTACCGTTTATTGGTCGAAGCTAATGGGGTCCTGATACGCTCCGAGTGTTTGTCCTGTACGCATAGTGCCAGAGGGGCGTAGTGAGAACGAGCCATCAGATTCTGGGACGACTCGAAATCCGAAGACACCTGTAAATCGCGCGAGGGGGGGGGGGGGATCTGGGCAATATACACAACAAAATATAATTTTATGTGTTACAAAAATTATCTGCAAAATGGTGCAAACGGGCAGCAGAAAAAATAAACTCAATTTCCCAGGGGGTACAGGGGGGAGCAAATTTCATTAATGTTTTTAAACAATTTTTTAATCGATATTTATATATTTTTATCTGGGGGGGGGGATCAAAATTAATTTTGTACCAACGACAACAAAAAGAATAAATGCAGGGACGGGTAATTATTAAATTTAATACTTTCAGGGACGGAAAAGAAAAAAAAGAGAGATGGACGATTTTAGAGTATTGCGACCCTGGGAAATTTATGATTGAATTTGATTTCGTGTAATATTTTAAAGTCACAAGTATTCTCAGTTCTGGAATATCGATCGGTTCCAACAGTGAGCCTCATGAAGCAAAAAAAATTGTAAACAAACCGAATGCCGTATACAGCGGCTGGGCCCACGTCGACCGCCATTTGTGACCTTGGCCGGGGAATTAAATTATAATAATTCTCGGCGAAGACACGATATTGAGGAATTTACGATATTCTGAAAAATTAGGGAACTCTATTATAATTTATGGGAGGACCTGAAATAATAAGAGGGAGGGGGATTCTCAATAATTACTCGGGGGGATTTATAAATTGACTATCTGTATTCTACTCTTTCTACAAACTATTACATCAAAATAATCCGGGCCTTTTAACTAATATAACTCGAGGGTGGCGGGTAAGGCCAACTCACTTGCGGCTACGCGAAATAATATAATAAAAATAAGGGGAGGCTCTAATTGTGGAAAATGGGGGAGAAGTGAGGGGGGCCGACTGAAAAGGAAATAATCAATAGGGGGCTTAATTTACAACTAAAATAAATTTACTGGAGGCTCACCGTTGGGGGGAAATTGACACGGGGCAGGGAAATTCGTTGGGGCAGGGAATAAAAAATGGGGCACTCACAGGGAATGGTGTCTTCAAAATTTTCTCGGGGTCTGTCCTTCTTCCTTCCTTCTCTCGGCTCTCCTCGGATCCTTTCCAAGATGTTCATCCAAATTATTTCTCCACAGACACTCCACGCAATAGTTCCGTTCTCTCCAACTAAAATGGTTCACCTTCTCACAAGTCTCTTTTTACACCGTTCCTCTCCTCACTCTTACTCCTTCACACAAGTCTCTTTCTCTTCACTCTCTTTACTTCTTTACACTCTTTTGACTTCTTCACACTCTTTCTCCTTCACACAGTTCCTAAAAATATCCTTTCACACTCTCATGGGGAAGTGACTCGTGGGGCAGCGATGGCACGAGTGATGGCTGTTCATCATCTATTCTTCATCTTTCCTAATTTTTGGGGGGTCATCGGGTGTCCTTCTTGTTCTCATCCAGGGGCTCGCTCGAAGGGTATCTCTTTCTTCCGGGTTCACGTCGGGTCCTTTTTGATGATGTTGATGGGTGAGTACCAGCGGGCGGGAAAACGGGGAGGGGGTTAGGAGTATCTGGGGATTGGTTGCCCAACGGTGGCGAAAAAGATTACTTAAACTCAACTTAACCTATCAAAAATTACATATATTAATTAGGCGGCCGGGGGGGG